ACTCACTGTTGACCAGGCACAGTGCTACTTGCTTTACATGTGCAATGAACCCTCACAACAGCCTGTTGATCGATGGGGAAACTGAGGTACAGAGAGGCTAAGTAACGTGCCCAATGTCACACAAATGTAGGCAGTGGGCTCCAGATCTGGGCTCTGAACCCCTCTGCCAGGGGCCTGGGAAAGGGGCCTGCTCTAGAGAGTCACACTGCAGGTCATCTGGGAGAGGGCACAGGACACGTGCAGCCAGGTCATCAGGAACTGGGGCCTTTTCTGGGAACAGGTGCAATGCAAGCGCCAGGGGAGCAAGAGGTGTGAAAATAAGCCCAGGTGAGCCTGGATTAAAGGCCTACGCGGTTCACAAAGAGCTTCCACCACTTACCTGGAGGCCCTCAAAGGCCTATTCCAATGCCTACATTATTGATGGGGAAACTGAGGCTGGGAGTGGCAAGAGGCCAGGTCAATTTCTCCAGCTAGGGTGGGAAGCAGCTGCGGTGGGCCTGCATGTGAGAGCGTGCTGCGTGCTAGGGGGTGGTGCACAGGTGACGGTGTGCAGCTGCGGGAGGGGGGCTGTAGGCAGGAGTACAGGGGGTATGTTCAGGTCCTCCCTGGGCCCACTTGAGTGCCTCACCCCACATCATCCCCAGGTCCTCAAGGGCACCTACCCTTGGAAAGTAGAGCGCTCTGGCCACATGGACTATTGGTTCCCCACTCCCCCCACCCCCAAATATGCTAGCGTGGGGAAGAGGCATCATTTAGCCAGCCCACACTCCACTTAATTATTTAAGCCACCACTGGGACAGAGTTATGAAGCTGAGATTAACCACTGGCCCAATGGCTGGAAGCAATACATATTTCCCTCTCTTTTGCCTTTTTTGTTCACTAAATTGAATCAATTTATTAAAGTTGCTCACAATCGATTTGTTCTGATTCCCCAACAGTAAAGAAGAAATGAGGCATTAGGGCCCCAGGACCCAATTTCACTCCTTAAAATGAAATGTCACCAGCCAGAGGGGATCCAGCCGGCCTGTCTCATGCCCCCTGTCGCCCATCCCCAATGAGCTGTCCCAGCCCCTTAGCTGAGGTCTACCAGAAGATAGGGAGATGCCCACACCCCGCTATGTCCTAAACCCTAGGAATCCTCTCTCATATTCTCCAAACGTTTCCAGTTGAGACCAAATCCTGACCCTACCTGCCTCCATAGGACACATCACATCATTCACCTCAATCAACCATGCTTTTCAAGCAGGAACTTCACAGGATAGGAGCGTAACAGATGCCTCGCTCCACACTCCACCTCTGTGCCTCAGATGCCACCGCTGGAATTCTGATCATCAGAGTAATAATAATACCAGCTAACATTTATTGAAAGTTTCCATATACCAGGTGCTGTTGCATGAACTCACCGAAAGATACAGACACTATGATTCACTTCATTCTGTCGATGGAGACACTGCGACTAGAGAGGTTAAATGACTTGTCCGAGGTCACACAGGCTGTAAGTGGTTGGTGACACACATAGTGGGTGAACCATCCAAAACCTATTATCAGGCCTCTTTTCTCTTCCTTTACTCTACGACTAAAAAACTGAAATGCTTACATTCCCTGCTTCCCTTGCTCTTAGGAGCAGCCTTGTGACATGACACAATTTTGGCCAATGAGCAAGAGGTGAAAATCCTTGGAGCATCCGTTCCTTTACAAATAAAAAGATAAAGCCTAGTTAGAGGAGAACACTTTCCCCTCCCCTTTGCCCCTCCCCTTCCCTTTTCAAGGGTAGGTACCCTTGGGGACCTGCAGCAGCCACCTTATGACCATGAGAAGGAAATCAACATGCTAATCATGATGGAGCAGGAAAATAGCAAGATCCCAGCTCTCCGGTGATCTCTTTGAGGGACTGAAGCTGCTCAATACTACATTATTTCTCCCATATTTGTTCTTGGATGAGTCAAATAAGCCCTTCCTTTGCTTAAGCCTCCTACCATCATTTTCTGTTCCTGCCTAAAGCACTACTGCATAATAAGAGTCAAACACAAGCAGTTGGGCTGCAGAGCTCCTGATCTTAGCAGCTTGTCCCACCTGCACTGAATTTGCAGGGGACACACTTGGAGGCCTTCCTCGGTACGCCCTCTCCTCGGTGCCCTCCCAGCCCGATATGAAGGGCTGTTGGTCCCATGGAACTTGGCAGTGGCCTGACAGAGCTCCTTAGCTTTAGACTGGAAACCTTACCAAGAGCCAGTCATGTTCTTTCTCACAAATGTGAGCCAAACCTGGAACTTGGTCTCTTGAGGAGAGTTTTATGGTGCTTGTAATGGCAGGAAGGGATGGAGCAGGTTTTCTCCAACTCACGCAGATAGGTTAAAGGAGAGTCCTGGAGCCCTCAGTGGCTTTTTCAGGGTTTTATTGAGATTCTGCCGGGTACACGGCAGGAAGGGGGGCCGGGAGGCTGGCAGGCCTCCTGAGCCCCCAGGAATCTTCACTCTTCCTGGGCTCTCCGGCATTCTCATTCTCCCTAGCTTGTTCTCTCCTCTGTTCATTCTCTTCCCTGTCTTCCTCTGATGCTGCCCTTATAAGCTCAGTCTCGCAACCCAGGTGAATCCCGCCTACCTATGCCCACACCCTCCTCCAGGTGTCCGCCATCAGGCATGCATTTAATCTAATGGCGGGAGGGCAAAAAAGCCTGATACTTTACTTATCCTACAGTGCTCTACCCAGGTCACCCTTTAGGAATGAAGGGCATGTCCCCCAGATGCCGAAGCAGTCACCCCGTCTAAGATCACCTCCGCTGAAGAGAGCTGCCTTCCCCAAGGTCATGACCTCTTTTCTGGGAAACCCACATCCAATGACTAATGGTCCCCTTACCCCTTCCCAGGCCCAGAGCCTCCCAGGGGGTCAGCTGAAGACATGTAGGGATGGAATCCCACCCTGACTTCTCCCTCTCTTCACTCTTGCACCCTTCCCGCTCCTTCCACAGTGCTGGCCCTGAGAACACTCCTTGTCAATGGCATATGTGAGAAATTGCACCCCGGAGACTGGTCTCGTGATCCTAGCCTGGATCTGGAAGGTCCAAAGGCGGGTGGCTGAAGAGATGATGTCGCCCGTGAACAGAGAGGAGGTGTAGGAACCTGGAGTGCAGAGGCAGACTGAGGGCCCCAGGGAAGGAACGGGGTAAAGGGAGTGTGTGCTTTCCAGCCCCAGGGCCAGCTACTCATTGAAGCCACTGAATTCTGCGAGATGCCCTGATTCCTCAAAATACCCCCACTATGTGGAGCTAGCTTGAGTGGGTTTCTTTTTTTTTAAGATTTATTTTTATTTATTTATGCATATAAGAACTGGGTGCAGGCCAGAAATGGGGAGCAGAACAGACAGATCTACTGAAATACACTGCTGAGGGGACCGGTGGGCGAGACAGGAGAGGTCTGCTGTGCCATGTGGGTCACCTCCCTGGCCAGGGATTGAACTCAGGCTGCAGTGGCTGGCGATGGCTTGATAATGCTGAGACTTAACCCCTTGCGCCACCAGGGAGGCCTCTTGAGTGGGTTTTGTTTTGTTTTGTTTTTTTATAAGGAAAGGGAGATTTTTTTTTTCCCCAAAGGTTTTTATTTATTTATTTATACAAGCACTGGGTACAGTCAGAAGCACAGGGTGAGAGAATTCACCAGCGGGGAGCAGAACAGACAGAAGGACCGAAGTACACTGCTGAGGGGAGCAGCGGGCGGCAGGAGAGGTCTGCGCACCATGTGGGACCCTCTCCCGGAGGCTGGGGAATCAAACCGGCGCCGCAGAGGCTGTGGGCAGCTTCACAGCCCAGCGCTCAACAGCTGTGCCACCAGGGGAGGCCCCTCGAGTGGGTTTCTATTTATGGCCATCAGACTAGCCTTGAAGAAGACAAGCCGCTACCCTGCATTTTATGAGTAAGAAAACCAAAGGCCAGAGGGAGGTAACAAGTGTGTGTAAGAGTCAACTCTTTATTATTTATTCGTGTAACAAATAGTTATTAAGGACCTACTATGTGCCATGAACTGTACCAAATTGGGAATTACAACAAACCAACTTAATCCCCACTATCATTGAGTTCACGATCCAGTAAGAGAGAAGACATGTAAACAGGCAACTACAGTACAGGCAGGTAAGGAGCATGGAATCCCTGAGGAGGGGGCATGTGTCCCAGATGCGGAACCTCATGGAATCTTCCTACGGGGGGTGACAAGTATGCCAAGGCCTACAGGTGAACAGTCTCCAGGAAGAGGGGAACAGAATGTGAAAAGTCTCAGAACTGCAAGGAAATGGTGTGGAGAATCCCCAAGTGGGTTTTGTCAACTCAAGATCTTGTCTTAGGGTAGGAGTGGGGGGCCCACAGCCTCCCTGACCCCGTGTTGTTTCTGGGTAGTGGCCAATCACCTCCACATGTCCTTCACATAGAGTTAGGTCTGTGATCCAGTCTAGTCCAATCAGACTCTCTCTCCAGAATCTGCATCTCTAATGAAGACACACAGGGATGGAGGTGGTAAGGGGGGGGGGGGCATCTCTATACCCCAGAAAGGTGGTCCATGCTACTCACTTCCCCAGCTGCCCTGGGTCCTGTCGATCCTGAGGACTATAGTCTAGCTTCTCCTTCCATTCTGGGACCTTCCTCACTACCACTTTCATAAATCCCCTGTTCTTAACTTTTTCAGAATCAATTTCTGGTGTTTGTAACCAAATAAGCCTGCTTCAGAAATTAGTACCAGGAGCGGGGTTCATGGAACACCCTTAGGGATACACAAGTTACTTGAAATTGGTTTTCATAAATTCATGGGGCCAAAATCAGCAGGACTCTAGTTCACATTATTGGACAGAAAAGTGGTTGCCAATGGTCCACGGTGGCAAGCAGCTAATTATGTTACCCCCTTCCATCACCTGGGATCATGTGCCAATGGAAAGTGAAAGACTCGCAGCTGCCATGGGCCAATTTATAAAGGATGAGGAATGCTGGGACCACAGGCTGGATGGTTGTTCCTAACACTGGATAATTTAAAGCAAGAAAAATGACAGACTCAAATCAAAATGTTCGCCTCAAGGCACAGAATAAAATTCAGGGCCATTATATGACCATGCTGAAAGAATCTTTTATTGCATATAGCCACGGAGTTGAAATTGCTGAAGACTGAACTTAGAGATTGATTTTGAAGTTACTGAATTACGGTGTCAGTTGAATTCACAACCTCACTAAGTCCCTTCAGTGAAAGGGAGGGCACTGGTCAGAACATGAGTATCCCGTTGGTACGGTGACTTCTGGGAAGACTCTGTGGACTCAGGGGACCCCTCGAGCTCCAGTAGCTTCTGCCTACCCTTGAGTTCCATCAAATCCCTGTTGCTCCCAGACTATTCAGGATCCAGACCCCATGTGGTCCTGATGACACAATGCGCGATGGAGAGAAGAGTTACTCCCAGAAAGAACTGCCGGAGTCACTGATTTATATTTCACAGGTAGGAGGAGGACGTGTGGAAATGGATTTTGAGAGCGCCTTGATCAAACAGAGGGATATAAATGTGGACTGGGCTGCGTTTATTGACATGGGTGTAGTCACCAGAAATTTCTCACTCAGGGTGCTCTCCCAGGCAGTTGGCAGAAGTTCTGACATTTTGCAGAAGCCTCTCTTGGGAACCTGGACCAAATGATGATCCATTATAATTGGCAAAAAAAAAGCACCAGAAAATCCCTGGCATAATTAGAGGAACGAAGGCAAACAGCTAGAGACAGCCACGCTGGATGGCTCTATCAACCCACATCAATGCCAGGGGACTCTCCCTCCCCTCTCCTTTTGAGGATGCTTTTCATGAGACAGGGTCATAATTTTGTCTCTTTAGCAACAAATAATTAGTAACACAATTGTTATACACAAAAGCTCTGAAGAATAATGTCACTAACATCCACAAATCTCTTATCTAACTTAAGATATGAAATGTTTGAGCTCAAGTTCCCCGGGAAGCAGACACCAAGATGACGTTAGTACATGCTGTGAAGGCCGGTAGGGAGGGAGGAGAGGGCCAGGCTGTCCGATGACCTATATGTGACCACTGGGAAGGACGGAGGAAGGAAGGGGAAGCAGAGTGTCAGAGAGCAGTGTCGTTGTAGAAAGTTCCAGCAAGGCCAATGGAAAGTCAGCCTGGAGCCAAAGTCCAGTGAGAGGAACCCCACAGGCCTGGTCCCCCTGGGCTATCCTTGCCAGGCCCAGTCAGCTGCGTGCAGCCTGGGAGAGTGTCTGGGACACCAATCCAGCGTCTAGAGTAGGAGAGCAGCAGCAGGGCCTCCGGTCAGTGACGCACTCCGCAGCCAGGGGTGTGCTGTGGGCCGTGTGCATTTTCATGGCCACAGGCAAACCCATCAAACCTGCATTGACCATTACTTCCTAAGTCTTTAAAATGGGCTCTGTTGTAGTCCAGAATCCTGGCAAAAGGATGGCTGTTGCTATGATCTTCAGGTGGATGGGAGAAGCTTCGATGGCCCAGCCCAGGGAAATGGAGGGTGTGGCCATCATCTCATAGGCAGAGCCTGCTGGCCTGGGGCTACCCCAAGCCATCTGGGGACAAAGAGCCTTGGGTAATGGATCAAGGGTCCTGTGGAATGAAATAAGCTTCCCACTGAGGTCCCACCTGGTTCTACAACCAAAATCCTCTAAGTCTGGTGAATAATGGGCTCTCTAGAGCCCTGTAGCTGCAACAGGATCCCAGCGCAGGGTTGATTGGGACCCAGAACCTTTCCAGTGCAGGGCTGAGCAGAGCCTTCAGGCAGGATCCTGCTACAACAGCACAGGGAGATTGTGATGCGTCTTCCATAGAAGATCCCCCAAGGGAAGCTGCTGCCCTTGACCCGGGTTGCTGAGTATGGGAGAGTACAGGGGATGATTAGATGATTACTGCACTAACTCCAACCCCTGAGGATTCCACCCTTGTCTGGAGGTCTCAGCAGCACTTCAGGAGCTCAAGGGTAACTGTGTACCCACCTGAGTCAGGGGAACCTCAACCCCAGTCAGAGCTTACTGACAAGTTCCTGAGAGGAAATCCAGGGTCTTGTGGGTGATAGAAAACCCACCTCAGCTTCCTAGCCAGAAGACTAGGGCCCATTTCAACAGGAAGGGCCAGGAGGAAATCACGGACGCCCCTGCTACCTACAAACACAGTGAACCAGATGCAAGGCTGCAACCTGGGGGGACAAATCACTGCCACCAAACACATGGAAGATGGAGTTGTGATGATCCTGATGCACCCCATTCTGTCCCACATTCAGCTACCCTGAAAAGTAGCTGAAACTTAGCAAACAATGATACACTGTAAACTCAGTCGGAGGTGACTCCATTTGCAGCTGCTAATCCAGATGTGGTCTCCTTGGCAGAGCAAATGAATTCAACCTTGGTGCTTAGTATTCAGATCCTTTTCTGGAATATGGAATGTACTTCATCTGAGAATAGAAAACACCAAAAGCAGTTTGCGGGCACCTGACCAGGACAGTAGTGGAATATTACTGCCCTGCCTTTGGGGTGCTGGCTGTCTACCTCCTCCCACAGCCTGGGCCACCCCATCCCTCAGTCACCACTCTGACAAGGGCCCTGTGCTCTGAATAGATAGCAGAAAATTGCTGGGGGCTGACAAGAAGGGAGTCGAGCGCCCCAGATGTCTCCACTAGATACATGTGGGACAGATTTGGATTTGGCACCAGAGGGAGGAACCCACAGGTCTGTTGTCTGAGTGATACAACCGAAGACCCCCAGCAGATGCCTGAAATTGAGGATAGTTCCGACCCCTGTATATATCCGATGTCTTTTCCTATACCTACTTACCTGCGGTAAAGTGTAACTTATAAATTAGGCAATTAGTGAGAGATTAACAACAATAAATTAACAATAAAATAGAGCAGTCATAACAATACACTGAAATAAAAGTAACATGAATGTGGCCTCTCTCAAAATAGCGTATTGTATAGCTTATTATACGCAATATTTTCCATCCACGGTTCACAGTGTTAACTGAAACCTCAGAAGGAGAAACCACTGTGTGGGGGGGTGGGGGGAGAGGGAATAGCGTCCTTTCTTCAAACTGAAGGAGAATTTGCTGCAACTTGAACCCCTTACCTCTGAAAAGGAGGCACAACGCTTGGTGGCCTTCTTTGGATTTTGGAAGCTGCCAAAAGATCAACTTTTCTGATACTTTTGCTAAGCCACTTGCAAGCTTCCAGCTTTGAGAGGGGCCCCAAGTAGGCGGAGGCTCTACAGGACTCTGGCTGTGCTGATGGCCCCTCTGGCCCCGGTGGTGGGTCTCTCCTTTCTGTCCCCCAGGGGAGAGACTCTAGAGCCGAGGCCAGGAGCATCCGTGAGGAATATGTGCACTGCAAGGAACAGAGAACACTGCCTGAAAAGCCATAATCTTTACAACTTCAAAGTTATCTTTCAGGCGAAGCTAGATCCAGCACCCCACTACAGTGTCAAACATCCTAACATTGCCCTGTCGTCCCCCACAGGATGGTGTGACAGTGCGTACAACTCCGCTGGCAATTCTGCAGAAAGCAGAGGGACCCCATTCCCAGAATCCTCCGACATCCTTGCGTCTCACTGCCTTGAATTTCTGGGTGTGGACCAAGTCCCAAGGCTGGGGGCTTCACTCTTGGGCTGCACGCATCAGGCCCCGCCCCTGGGGCGGAGGGGAGCCAATCCTGTCCGGGCAGCATGACCAAGCATGGGGGCGGGGCAGTTCTCAAAGTAAACCCGGGTTCTGTTGCCATAAAATCGGGGAACTGGACACCAGGCCCCGGCAAACAGCAGGCGTCACACAGGGGGTAGGGGATAGGAGGGGGGCCAACTTTGTCCCTGCCCATGTGATTACAGAGTCACAGTCCCTATTGGGGTTTGAATCTCATAAATACTCAACCTCCACCCTGTTCATGGGGTCTTTCCTTCTCTAGGGCCTCTGCTGAGGAGAGGAAGGGGTGACTGGGTACAGGCTAGAGAGAAAACTAAGTGCTTCAGCTCCAGCTCTGTTGCTCCTGGATTCCTGGGTGAAGGCCCTTTGCCATCTCAAGGGTTGGCTTTTTGTCCCAACTTGTTTCTCCAGTGGGCCCCCGGGAGAGACAGAGGGCCCCACTCGCAAGGATGGGAACCTGAGCAGGTTCTGGGAACACACAGACCCTTGCCTCAGGCTCTACACTTGGAGACTCAGGGCCCTACTGACGCTTGAAATATCATACAACTTTTCAGAGAATACCCCCCCTTATTGTTATAAAAACATGTCCCCCCTAGACCCACTAAAATACACTTTAAAATAGTTCTGAGGGGCCTCCCCGGTGGCGCAGCGGTTGAGCGCTGGGTTGCGAAGCTGCACGCAGCCTCTGCAGCGCCGGTTCGATCCCCGGCTGCTCCCCGGCCACTGGAGGAGGGTCCCACATGGTGCGCAGACCTCTCCTGCCGCCCGCTGCTCCCCTCAGCAGTGTACTTCGGTCCTTCTGCCTGCTCTGCTCCCCGCTCTGGCTCTGGTGAATTCTCTCACCCTCCCGCGCTTCTGACTGTACCCAGTGAATGTATAAACAAAACAAACGAACAAACAAATAAATAAATAAAAAAACATGCCTCTATAAAATAGTTCTGAGATTTCTGCTTTAGGGTTTCAGACAAAGGCAGGCTCTCCATCTGCTTGCTGGCCTCTGCCGCGTCCAGGCGGAGCTGGCCGTCGGGAGGACAGCTGAGTCGCAGGCCATGTTTGCATGGACCCAACTGTTTGCTTTGTTATCATGCGCCGAGCAGTGCAGGAAGAGGGGGCGTCTACCACGACTCCTCGGGGTGCTGCCTGTGAAGCAATTTTCCATCTGCTTGAAAGGCGCTCTGGTAAGTCTTTACTTTGCCCTGAAGTGATTTTTCTCTGCTATAACTCTATTTTTCAGTGCAAGATAACCGTGAGCCCCAAAGGCGCTGCCTGAAAGTCTGTCCTGGGAGACACCAGCCCCCAACCTCCTCAGGGATGTCACCCTCCCATGTGGGAAAAGGAAACCTCCATCACATTGCACTTGAGTCACAAACTATGGTATTTAATTTCAGGTTGTTGTTTTCCTTGTCCAATTGCTGTGTTTTCCTGTCTGTGAGAAATCCGGTATCTTGGCATGGGAGAGCATGCACCATCGTTTTTTGTTTAAAATTAATGAAAAAATTTTTTCATTTTATGGCTTTTCATCCCAGGGCAGGCTTTTCAGAAATTAAATTTCAGTCATTGAAGGTGGGGTAGGTGTGTCCACCCTGGTCATTCTGAGCTGTACCTCCTCCCTGCACCTCTGCTCGTGACAAAGAACTCACCTTTGCTGAGACGGCCTCTTAGGAAGGTAAGAGCTATCCCTGGTGGGCTCCTCTGGGCCTCACATTTTCCCCACATGTCGTGAGGATGTCAGCCATCCAACCCTTAGCAGGGTAGAGCGCTGTATGGGGCCCAATAAGGTCCAGCTAAATCTAGCCTGCAGTAGGTGGTGGGACATGACATCTCTGGGTGGGACATGACATCCACCCACCGGGGGGTCTCCAAGATGACTCTGGGTTCCCAGCTCCCTCTGCAGGCTACTGGACCCACAGCTTCTGCCTTCTCAGACACTCTTCCCAGAATTCCTGTTTTTCCCATCTGGGGCATTCAGAGAAGTCCCACCAGACTGCAGCACTCTACCAGAAGATTAGAGACCAAAAAGGAAGTCTGTCTCAAAAAAAATAAGTAAATAAAAGCCTGTGTTTACAATGAGCTCCTAGCAGCTGGTCCATGAATGGATGGAAGAGGGAAGGTCTGGAGCTTGGAAGACAATGTGAGGGTGGTAACATAGCAGTGGCCAAGAGGGCGGCGGGGGTGGGAAGCAGGAACACAGAGTGCCCCTGCCAGGCTGGATGTGGCGGAAAGGTCAGGGCAGGGAGAATAGGTTAAGGACAATGAAGAGGAGTGGGCTCGTGGGAGTGGGAGCAAATGTGTTGTTTGAGGGAGTGTTTGGGCTCTGCAGGCAGACTGTCCCCGGGGAGCTGGGGTGTGGCCCCAGAGTCTGAGGTGGGTCTGGTGGAGAAAGAGTGGGTCTGTGAGTCATGAGTGAGCCAGAGATTGGGGAAAGGAGGCCCTGCCCTGGCTCCTGAGAGAGGGGCAGGCCAAGTGGAAATATTCTCATGTATTCTTTCCATTAGCTTATTCTTTTGGGGTTTAAATACATCTGCATCTCAAGAGTTCCTTTATTTAAGTTCAAATACCCATGGAGGGGTGATCTCCTAAACCCTTGTATTAATTATTTTAAGTTCTAGAAACTGTATTCAAGCTAGCTTAAGCAAAATAAAAAGGGAGAGTAAATTTACTGGTTGAAGTCAATTAAGAGTCTGACGCTTCAGATACAGCTGGATCCAGACATTCATCAGGCCTATCTGGATGCCTTTGATTTGGCTTCACTCTCAGCAGGCAGGGATGCCCCCCCCCCCCAGCCCCTGCCACCCAGGCTTTCCTTCTACTTGCTGGAAAATTCCACAGGAGAGAGCACCTCTTCACAGCTCTGCTGTTGATGGGTTTGGTGAGGGTGGGGTCCTGTGCCCCTCTAAGCCGGGGGCAGGGGGTCAGCTCCACTCAATCCACATGGACTAAGAAGAAAAGATCCCAAAATAAAAACAAGGAGTCTGACCTGAGGTGAGGCCAAGATCTTTGTTTCTACTCTTTTCTCATGGCCTAAACACATCTGTCGAGTGAATGACGGAAGGAAGAAAGTTAAGCTAGCAAAGGTGATGAGGAAACCAGGGCAGACTTCCCTTGCGGGCCTCCTCCATTGGGCACTTAGCAGGAAGAGTAAAGTAGTAGGGCTGTGACCTTCAGGAGGGAGTGAGTGGGGACCTGAAGATAAACTCAGCCTTGATGGCAGCCAGGCCACAAGAAAAAAAGGGGTGGGTCTTCCTGGTGGCGCAGGAGTTGAAGTCTCAGTGCTATCAAGCTGTCGCCAGCCACTGCAGCACGAGTTCGATCCCTGCAGGCCAGGGAGCAGCCCACATGGCGCAGCAGACCTCTCCTGCCTCGCCCGCTGCTCCCCTCAGCAGTGCATTTCAGTCAGTCTGATCTTCACCCCACTCTGTCTGTGAATCCTCTCACACCCCACACCTCTAGCCTGCACCCCAGTCCTTGCAGGCATTAATAAATAAATCTTTAAAAAAAGAAAGAAAGAAAAGAAGGAGTGTGGGCCCTCCATGAGGAGAGGGTGGGCAGTTGCCCACCCATAACTGCTCCTAGCCTGCCTCCCCCCTGCCGAAATGCTTCCATCCATCCTACTTGGCTTCCTTTTAAGGGGGCGAAAGCAGTGACAGTGGTGGGGACAGCAGTGGAAGTAGGATGGGCTCTGTCCTCTGCTCAGTCCTTCAATTGGACTTGAACTTCACAGTGGAGAAAGGGGAGCTCCAGGTGGTAAAGGAGCTGCTTCTGAGACACACGGGGGTCTAGATGTGGGAGAAGCCAGGTTGGGGCCCATTCCCTATGTACACAAGGGACTTCTGTACACGAGAAGGTGCTGCCTGCACCTCACACAGGGCAACCCTTTGGGGCTCTCCTTAAGGAAGTGTCCTCTCTAAGAAGTTGAAAGACTGCACAGCAGATGGGGGGCAGGTAACAAACCAAGGGTTTCAAAGATGATGTGACTGTATTTGTACCAAGACATCACAGAGGACCAGGCGCCTTCTGCATTGTGATTATCTACAGATCCTCCTCCTCCAGGCTGTGAGCTCCCTGAACGCAGGTTTTATTTATCCTCCTGTCCCTGCCAGGTTCTGGCACCAAGCAGGAGCTGATGGGATGGTTCCATGGCTCTTCCTTGTTACCCTGGTGCCTGAGCAGAGTAGGAGCCAATACTGACCCCTGGGTTTTGGAGACAGGCCCGGCCCCTGCCCTCAATGGCACTGCTCCCGGGAAGCCTGTGCTCTCCCCCTCCAGCCCCAGCTCCTCACCTCCTGTGGCCCAGGAAGATGGGAGCATCACTGCACATTGGGTCTGGGCCAGGGCAGCCATCTGGGAGGACGGACAGAGGGAAGTGGGGGAGCTGGATCCCTCCCATACACTTCTCTCCCTTTGAGAGCAGCAGGGTCCATCCAGCTGGCTGCTGGGGAGCTTTGCACATCCAGGGCTTGTGTGCACTGGAAACCTCTGATAAATGAGTGATGAGGCCCCCAGCCAGTCACTTTCTCTGTTTAGACTCCAATTTCCTCATCTGTCAAACCAGGTTCATAAATCTGACCTTGCGATTCCCTTCAGGAGAATTCCCCAGTGGTTCACCTTTGCTTATGGAATGAAGCCCAGAATCTTCTGTGAGCATGCAAGACCCTGAGGGGCCTGGCCCAGTTGCCAGCCCTGTTCCCC